AATTAGTAGAGAAATTAATTTGAAAAATTACCTTGACGGTTCGATAGCTATTTTCTGCTATCGTTATCAAAAGAACCTAAATGAACCTAAAAAAGAGTATGTTAATAAATTGTGTAACAATAGTAGGATAATGTAATATATGAAAATTCGCTCTGATAATTCGTCTGTGCAAATTGTCTTTTACAGCTTGAACCTAAGTGTGTCGCAGGACACCCTCTAGGTGATAGTTCTTGATTACTTTTTGATAAATAATTCGTTCTTATTGCGAAATAGGAGCACTATTTATCAATCTGTAATAAAAGACGTGAGGAAATTCTGTTTTTTTAAAGACAAAAATTTTTGAGGCGAAACACCCAAAAAGAAGTTTGTAAAAAAAGAATTGCCAATTTCACTAGCAGATATTAATTTTGGAAGTGTCCCGCTTCCACCGTGGATTATTTCGCACATTTTGTTCTCCGAAAAATAGGTTTGTTGGTTTGTTGTTCTTGTAGAAAATTTGCAAAGTCCGCATAGTTTTAGGTCAATTCACACATTGCTTCTGGGACTTTGAACAACTGTCTTCATCATTTTGTTCACAAAGTGTCCAGGAATCCATCGAACCATTTAAAATGTTTGAATCTTCTTCACGTACTGCTCCTTCGGGTTATGAAATCTCCTCCTTCCAATGTAGAACAATAAACGACTCGTGCGCTACTGAATGCAGCCAAAGAAGTACAATATGGTGCAACAGTGACGTCGGCTTAACCATCTGACGTGGTAAGAATTCTGCACCACCTGTCCAAAGGGAGTGTGCTCAACCAAGGGGATCTCAAGACGGGGCGGCTTCCCTCTTTGAAGCTGATACGGCCAATTGATAACGGATCCGAGCGCACACGTGCTGGAACGACACGTGTGTCTCGACCAGTTGTCCGACATCTAAAGTTACCTTTGGTGTTTGGCTAAAACTGTGACACATCGGTCGAAAAGTGAGACTAAGATGGGAGTTATTAGGACGTTTACGACCCACTCATGAGATATCCGCATCGGAACGAAAATACCCTTGATAGGGCATTAACACTCAATCGACTAGGGTGGTTATATGGATTTTAGGGCGAAAGGTGTTGGCACTGAAAAGCTGGATATAGCGGATTCTTGGAATTGATTTGTGGGGTTCCTAGGTATTGGTTTTAATTTTTATTTTTTCTTCTTACTAAGATGAAGGTTCTCTTTAATATTGTGTTCTCCAATTGGGCAATCATTTAAAATAGTTTGGGACTCTAAAG